GTTTCTGCAAATCACTACTGAAAGGGCAGGAGAAGAAAGCCATAATCGGGCAGGTGTCTTTATTCCAAAGAAAAACAGTCTGAAGGAATATTTGTGAGACACCACACATTTATAGCCTGCTCTCCTGGGACCGCTTGTCCAGGGGCAAAAACTTACTGCTGGGCTCTGCTGGTCCACTCCCATGCACATCCCCACCCCTGCACAACTGATTGAGGGATTCCTATCAGAAGAAGCACGTCCAGAGCATTGATCCCACCCAATATTTTTTTTTTTTTTTTCCAAATAGGGGTAGCTTTATTATTTAGTATCATGCTTATTGTTAGTTGCCTTAAGCCAGCTCTGACTCATGGTAACCTCATGTATAACAGAACAAATTGTTGCCTGTTCCTACACCATCTTTAAGATCATTGTTATGTTCAAGTCCTTTGTTGCAGCCACAGTGTATTTTGAATGCCTTCCAACCCAGGGAGGTCATCTTCTAGCCCTATGTTGGACGAGATTCTATTGTGATCCACAGTGTCCTCACTGGCTGATTTTCAGAAGTACCCACTGCCATCAAGCTGAATCCAACTCATAGCAACCCTACAGGACAGGGTAGGACTGCTGCCACAGGGCTTCCAAGGCTATAAATCTTTATGGAAGCGGACTGCTTCATTTTTCTCCTGTGGCACAGCTAGTGGGTTTGAACCCCTAACCTTTTGCTTAGCAGCCCAATGCTTTAACCACAGTGCCACCAGAGCTCCTTCAGTTGTCAGAAATACATTGCTAGGCCTTTCTTCCTGGTTCATCTTAGTCTGGAACCTCTGCTGAAGCCTGTTGACGATGGTGGACCCTGCTGGTATTTGAAATATCACGGCCATAGCTTCCAGCATCACAGCAACACACAAACCACCACAATACAACAAACTGATAGATGGATGGTGGAGGATTATGCCATTTGTAGTATAATGTACATTCTTTGGTTTAAAAAATGTGAAGAATGCAAAAAAAATTAAAATTTTAAAAGCAGATCAATATTAATGTTCTGATAAATTCATTTATAAATGTTTATGTGTGTGTTGACACAAAAATGATATCAAACTATACATATAGCTTTATAATCTGCATTTTTCACTCAAATATGAATGGACATCTTCCATATTAAAAAAAATTAGAGATTTACGTCATAATTGACATATGTTCATGTAAAAAATCTTGAGCATCTCAATTACAGCTCTGTTTATTTCCTTCATGGCATAAATTTTAAAATCCTCATTCATCTATTGACTTGTGCATCTGTTTGTTGTCTTTCTTTGTTCTGAGAATATAGTCTCCATGGGGGTATGGACCTTGCTTGTCTTTTTCACCACTATATTATCCCTGACACCAAGCACGTTGTCTGACACAGAGAAGTGCTAGATTACTTTTCTATTGCTGCACAACCAATTACCACACACTTAGTGGCTTAAAACAACACCCACTTGTCTCACAGTTCTATAGGTTACAAGTCCAGGCAGCCTTGACTAGGTGGACTTCCAAGCTCATTCAGGTTGTTGGCAGAATTCAGTTCCTAGCAGTTGTAGGACCGAGGTTTCCTTGCTGGCTGTCAGCTGGGGGCCTCTCTCCAATCCTAAAGGACACTCTCAGATACTTGCCCTGTGACCCCCTCCCCCCTCCATCCCAATATAGCGACTCATACTCACACTTTAAATTTCCTGATTTCCTGTTCTGGTACCAGCAGGGGAAAATGCTCTGCATTTATATAGCTCCTATAATTAAATTAGGAGCTCTGGTAGCATAATGCCTAAGGCACTTCACTGCTAACCCGAAGGCTAGCGGTTCAAACCCACCAGCCACTCCTCGGAAGGAAGGTTGGGCAATCTACTTCCATAGTGATACCACCTCAGAAACCCAAGGGGGGGGTCACTATAAGTCAGATCCTACTCCACGGCAGCGCACAACAACAGACAGGTCACCAGGCAGGTATGTATGTATGACATTTTCCATGCTACAATCCAGCCATGGGAAGGTCAGGAAAGGCTCCCTAGCAGGAAGTAACACCTAAGCTGATACTGAAGAGCAAGTAAGAATCAGTCAGGTCAAGTTGTTGTTGTTAAATTCTGTCCAGTCAGTTCTGACTCATAGCACCCCTATGTACAATAGAACAAAACACTGCCCAGTCCTATGCCATCCTCACAATTGTTGCTGTGTTTGAGTCACAATTGTTTCTGTGTCAATCTTTGTGTTGAAGGGCTTCCCCTTTTCTGCTGACCCTCTACTTTACCAAGCATATCCTTCTCCAGGGACTGACCCCTTCTGATAGCATGACCAAAGTATGAGAGACAAAGTCTGGACATACTCCTTTCTAAGGAGCATTGCACCTTTACTTCTTCCAAGACAGACTTGTTCTTTCTTCTGGCAGTCTGTGGTATATTCAATATTCTTTGCCAACACTGCAATTTAAACATATTAACACTTCTTCAGTCTTATTTATTCATTGTCCAGCATTTGCATGTATATGAGGCAATTGAAAATACATGGCTTGGGTCAGGTGCACTTTAGTCTTCAAAGTGACATCTTTGCTCTTTACATTTTCAGGAGGTCTTTTGCAGCTGTGGAACATGTCATCTGGTTTCTTGACTGCTGCTTCCATAGACATTGATTGTGAATCCAAGTAAAATGAAATCTCTGACAACTTCTATCTTTCCTCCATTTATCATGATGTGCTTATCTGTCCAGTCGTTAGGCACAAAGATGAGTTTATGAGATGAGGAAAGAAAGCTTTAGAGCACCAGAAAGCGAGTTCAGCACAGATGGAACATTAAGAGTTGAGGTCAGAGATGAGAGAGGACCTGGAGAGAGGACCCAGGTGCAGTCTCGTCAGCCATGGCCCAGAGTCCATCCTCTATCCTGGGAGCAACAGGAAGACAGTGAAGCGTTAAGCAAGAGGTGCCAAGATAAAGTCGATGTCCTTGTTTGAAAGGCACTGTTGGCTGCCCTGTGAGAAATAGAGTAGAAAGCCATTAGAAGATGCAGGAGCCAGGTTTGGGCTGCTTGACCATCCAGGTTTGGGAGGACTGGCCAGGGATTATCTCACAGTGGGTGGGCTGCTCACATCACCTCACTGCTGGAAGCCAAGATTCCTTTTGTTATTTATTTATTAATTTATTAAACATATGCTTATTTGCCCCTCAACAAGGGATCATCTGCATTTCTAACTGCTGGCAATGTCATTTGACTTTTTTTCTCTGTTGCATTTAGGCCTCCTGGCAAATGGATTATTTTGATCCAAGGAGTAGCAGCACTTCTTGAGAACTCTGTTGTCCACAGCCTAGAGCTTACCCAAAAGCAGAACATGGCACTGCCTTCTGCTTTGGTGACTTGCTCTCCAACTGGAAATCTTTCTTGCAATTGAATAAATGATTGTTCTTTGCTACTTTGTGTTGGAGAAACATCAAGGATGTCAGACATTCACTGTAATTATTTTTCACTCATTTCCCCATCTATAAAAATGACCTGTGCATTTTAATACCACTTTGAGTTTTCTCTTTACTTTTTTAATCATGTGGCCTTTTAAATTATTGGTCAGCCCTTTAAAAGGATGATTAAGAAATGCTTAATGCACAAAAGAATTAGAGCTATGCACAGTTCACGAAACAGAAAGCGTGCTCTGACTTACAATTTTCATACAAAGTTTGCAGAGGTTTTATGTGCCAGAATGAGTAATATGATCTGCTCTAGGAACTGCCTAGCTTTCTGGCTCTGCAAAAGTCATTTTTTTTTTTTTTGCCCCGATTCAAGTTTCTTAACCAGAAGGGTTACACCAAACTCCTCAGAGTATGAATTAGCAGAGTTCATCCAAGCCACATATTTCATTTGCACCGTTTAATGATGGCTTGAAATAACCGCCTACCTGTGCAGACATAGGGGTCTCTGGCACTCTCATGAGTCAGTGCAGCTTGTGAAAAGCTGTATAGCAACCCCTGAATCAGACAACTTAGGCTATATGGCTCATGCGCCAATGTGTTTGATCTTTCCCCTCCCTACCATATTCCCCAGAGAGCTGTGCTATTGCCATGTATCAGGAAACTCTGAAAGGCCATTGTGAGAGATAATGACACAGGCACATCTAGTTGAGCATCATTGTGGGATGAGTGCCTCTTTTTGCCCATCTCCCTGCTTCTTCCCATGACCCACACTGGGCCACGCAGGGCCCCTCATTTGCACAGTGAGAAAATATGGGACCACTTCTGGATACCTGGTCACCAGAGCATGAAATATGCAAATGAATGCCTGTTGTGTTTCTTTCTGTTTGGTGTGAAGCGTACATTATGCCATTGGATGTGGGGATGCCAGCCAGCTTTGTTTCAATCTGCTGTATTTAAGGAGAAACCAAAATATTTTTTAATGGTTGCTCTTAGATGGTATTTAAATGACTGTTAAATTTTCTTGACCACCTTTAACTCTCTAATCTTTATAATTAACTTTTTTTTTTTACTTACCTGTATATTAATCTTTATAATTAACTCTTGATTGAAGATTTTAATTAGAGATTAAATTAAATTAGAGAATTTAAGCAAGAGATTATAGAGATTAAATCACTATAAAGCCAGGTTTAAAAATAATTTTACAACCATGGTCATTGTAGTAACTTGAAACAGAAAAGTGTAGAGAGAGAAAAAAATATGTATATGGACACATAATCTGATCACCTGAAAATAATCACTGGGAACGTTTTGGCATATATTCTTTCAATTTCTTTTCCTATATCAAGAAAGACATTTTGAAAGAAGCCCCTTCTCAGATGGGTTTGCAGGACATAACTTTTGGTTCACTTTGTTCTTCCGGTTTTTTTCCTGCCTGTTGCCTTCCTCAATCCCCACCCACTGCCAACCAGAGAGTGGCAGGGGGCAGCGTGGGGGTGGGGATGGGGTGAAGCGCTCCTGTTGCCTTGTCTTAAGACAGCACTGTGCATTCCACCAGCTGCTGCTCCTGCTAAATAATGTGCTTTCTCGTTGCAGCTATCAGAAGGGCTGAAAAAAGGGAAAATGCAACTCTGCAGCAATATTCTGATAATCTATTGCAGTGCAGTTCACATCATTGTCCGCCACCACCTGGAGCGGCTCATCAGAACCGAAGAGGAGTTTCACTTTCATTATGGAGTACGATTCTGTTCTACTTGATATTTCGTCACCCCGTGTCATTTCTCATGGATTTGGATATGTTAGAAAGCAAGAATGCAGAGGAGAAAAATGACAGATCCTTCATTTTTCGTTGGGATGTGGGCATTTAAAACGTGACTATCTCTTCTAAATGTCATGATTTGATAACGTTTTTATTTTTGTTACTTAAACATCATTGGATAAATTTGAACTCCACAGAATTTTAACTGTGGATTCAGCTTCTGTTGGACAACTGGCTTCATCTCCAGTTATTCTGCTGGTTCAGTCACAGTGGTCATTCCTAGTGCATTAGATTATCAAAAAGTAGAGATTTGCTGTGAATGAGTAGTGTTGGCGGTGTCTGTGTACCAAGATGCATGGAGTGTTTGACAAAGAAAGGAAAACACCAAAACTTGTGAGCCTTTACCCTCCTCTGTTTCTTTAATCCGCTGTTTGAAGAACCACATTTTGATGGTGAAACCAGTAGTTACCTCTGGGCCAGGTTGGAAGTGAAATCAATCTTTTAAACCACTAATACTTGCCAAGAAATCGCCTTATGAGAACATGGTGTGTGTGTCTCTGACAATGCATGGTGCATCTAAATTGATCATTCATAATTTTCTCTACCCCGACCATGTACTGAAGAGTGGCAAAAGCCTGAGGCGCCTCCATCTGTCTGTACCCTGGGCCCCATACATCTCCACGGCAGGGATGTGGCCAAGCCTCAGACTCTTCCCATTCCCGTACGTGCAGGTCTCCATGAAGAAGCTGGGACTCATTCACATTTCAAGATCCACATGCTGTGCAAACAGTGTAAGCTTAGATCTTTCTGTCAATGAAGGGTCGTTTCTCTCTCTCTCTATGTCTCTCTCTCTTTCTAAATTTTGTCTCCAACATGGATTCCAAAGCATTTTCAACATCGAACATGAAAACATTGATAAATGAGGAGCAATCACAGAAGCTGTGTATCTGTTTATAGCTCTGCACAACATGTACGTGGGTGTAGAGTCATTATTTAAAGTACACGCCAGGGAAAGAGACCAAATCTTGAGGTCTTTTACAAACAGTGACATGGTACTAAGGAGATTTCAACTCCTACTGCTTCCTCTGAAAATTAAAAAAAAAAAAAAAAAAGTTGTAACTTCATAAAACTCATGAGCAAATCTGGCAGACATGTGCAACTGTTATATTGATACATTTTCTTGTCAATGGAAGAAACCCTTCCTTCCACGTGTATGCAAGTGGGAGAAGAAAATCTTCCTTTTTAAAGGACAAACAGTGAATTTAAGCATGAGTGGCCTTAATAAATATAGTTGTCTTTCTTTGCTGCTGTGGAAAGGATTCTAAACAGATATCCCTGAAGTCTTGCATTGAATTTAGTCGTTATTATTACTTTTTTAAAAATGTTGGTGCAATTAACTCTGGACCTCTCTCACGAGCCATAGAGATATTTATAAGACAGACACCTTATTTATCAAGGAAGATGAAACCGTGTCTGAGTTGCACTGTTCATTCCTGGTGGGTTAGGAATAATATATTCGAGCAGGTTTCTTGCTTCTGGCTTTGTTTTTGTCATCAGTAAGTATAGCCAACTATGTAAAGCTTTTGTGTCGCATAAACAATCCAAATACATTCATGTTTAAAAACTTTGTCCTTTAACTATCAAAAGATGTAGGCTTTAATTGGAGGAGTAAGCAGAGTTCTTTGCAAGTGTATTTAGCACATTTTGACCAGTATCTCACGGAAAACTAAGGCCACAAAAGCGTCCCCATGAAGAATTAGGGTGTCCTCAAGTAGGCAGTCCTCACTGCCTCCTAAAACCAGGGCTAGATCTGAACTCAGCAACCCAATACTTGAAGTAGGAAATCTGTGAGTGAACATAGGTCCTCAAAAGAGAATAAAAAAAGAACAACCTCCATGTATAATCAGCTATTTCTACATATGTGCCAATTTTGTTACTGGTATTGTTTTGGGGGTTATTTATTGCCCCATTTATGTTGCTTAGGAGCTCTGTTTGCATAGTGCCCAAGGCACTTGACTGCTAACCAGAAGGCTGGCGGTTCAAACCCACCAGCCACTCCTCGGAAGGAAGGTTGGGCAATCTACTTCCGTAGTGATACTGCCTTGGCTACCCAAGGAGGGGTCGCTATGAGTCGGGCCGACTCCATGGCACATAACAACAGCAACAACATATGTTGCTTAGAAGTATTATTAATCTGACCTTTATGAAAGCATATCATTTACTCCCTTAAAAAATAAAAATTCTGTCTGACATATAGCATCTTTTCCCATTTCATGTAATAATCTCTGATGTTTGAGGGTTACCAAAAAAAAAAAAAATCCTTTTTCCTATATATATTAAGAATAGTCTCTGGGTTTACAACAAACACTGTGATGTTGGGAGATATTTCCTTTGTGCAAACTTTAGCAGATTCCTGTCTAATCATAAAGGCGTTTTAAAACAAAATGAAAAGAGTCTGGGCTAACGTTTAGGAGAAGTTGTCTTCTTTCTTTGTGTAGAAGCAGGCTTGTACTTTATACCCCGTTTAATTTCAATGTACAGTCTCAATTTTGTATTTAATGATTTTTGTGTATCCAGTATGCACGTTAACAGCGTGTCAACTTTCATTTGAAAGTGGGTTTCAATTTACTTTTTAAACAGTGTTTATGACAAGACCTCAAATGTGTTGACATAAGCTCTATCTGCGATGTTTTTGTGTAGAGTGGCGTTTGAATGCTGCCAGGGGTCAGTGTATCTAATTTCCCAAGACCCTCGTTTGATAGTGCTTCTTGTAATATTTCTTCAAGTGAGTGGCATGTGGGTTGTGATATTGATCATGTGATTATGGACATTGATATGAAAAATAATAATAACAAAACTAAGGAACCCTCAGAAACTACCAGTGGGCATGTATTAGCCAGTCATTGTAACCTCACGTCTAGTAGAAGTTCAATGTACAAGGTATGTACAGTTCATAAATTTGTTATCATGTGTATGAGAAGTACTTTGTGCTGACCGCCTTATTTATATTCATCAAATAAACTTTGTTTCTTTCTGAAGTGAGTTCATTCCGTATTTAATAAATGCTTCAACTGTGTGATTTCTAATCTCTTTTGGGGTCATGGATCTCTATTTGAAAATCTATTCAGAATTCTGTTGACTTGAAGAAAAAAGGGAATTTATTGGTTCACTTAACGGGAAAAGCCAAAAGCATAAATCTTCCTTCAGGCATGACTGGATCTAGAGGTTCAAATTAAGAAGTTAAGTCATGGGCGGTATCTCTCTCCCTCCTTCCTGTCTTCTTTGACTTCCCTGTTTGCTTTTCTCTCACCCTAGGTTCTTCCCTCACTCTCCATCTCCCCTTCTTCCTCGCACTTTTCCTCCATTTCCTTTTCCCATCCCTCCAGCTTCCCTCTTTGCTTGTCTCCTGTTTCTTCTGCACTTTACACTGGATTAGCTTCAGTTTCTGCTAGACTCTCTCCACTAGGTGGCAAAGATGGCTCCCAACAGCTCTGAGCATTCCTGGTTTCTAGAGGAGAAACTCTTCCAGCATTCATACTAAGCCTCTAAAAGAACTCTCACTGGTCCTTTTTGGATCATGTGTCCAATCACCTTTTTCAAGGGTGTTGGGAAGATGAGGCTACGTGCTTGAAAGCTTCACTGGATGTTGGAGAAATAGTTTCCGAAGGGAGAAAATTTAGTTTTATTGTAGAAGAAATAGAACAAATCCATTTTGGAGGAAGTGCATCCAGATTACTTAGAAGTGAGGATGACTTTGGACACATCAAAAGGAGGGACCAATCACTGGAGAAGATATCAAGCATGATAAAATAGAGGGTCAGGTAAAAAGAAGGAGACCCTCAATGAGATGGATTTACACAGTGACTACAACAATGGGCTCAAACATAGTAGCAATTGTGAGGATGACACAGATCTGGAGAATGTATTATTCTGTCATATGTAAGGTCACAGTAAGTCAGAGCTGATTCAGTGACACCTAAGAACAACAGCTCTAGAAGAGGAGTCCCTGGGCAATGCAAATGGCTACTAACTGAAAGGGTGGCAGCTCAAATACACACAAAGCAACTTGGAAGAAAGGCCGGTCTATCTCCTTTTATAATCCAACAGCCATTGAGAACTCTACGGAGCACAGTTCTACAGTTCTGTTCTGAAGCACATGGGGACACCATGAGTTGAAACAGACTTGATGGCACTTGGTTTAATTCTATAAGAAAGAGACAAGAAAACTGGTCAGGCAATAATAATGGATAGCCCTTTCACCACTCTTCCCGCAAAAAATACATACCAAATTGTCCATGCACAGTGTTATCGGTCATCGCAGCCTACCTATAGATCATAGTTGACAGCTTCATCGGCACATCACACCTACAGAACCACTCCTGGATTCTCTTTATTCTAGAGAATGAATTTCCATTTCTTAGCATTATTGAAATCAAAGCGTCATAGAGCATCAGAGCCTAAAAGACTGTTAGTGTTATGTAATCCATCATCCTCACTTTGCCAGATGGGAAAACTGAGGCCTAGTCAGAACTGACTGATCCAAGCATATAGGGTAACTTCATGGAAGAGCCAAGACTGTGCCCAGAGCTCCTGAACCAGGAAGTCCCTGATGACTCTCTGGGGAGGAAAGGATGGGACAAAGCCTTCCACCAGTTTGTCCTTGATGACATAGGGGAAATATCATTGGTTTCTTTACTTCGTGGACTCAAAGCCACCAGGTGTGAAATTCTGTCCCAGTCAGCTACTTCTTTGGGGGCTTGCAAAGTCATTTGCCCTATTCATTATGTTCCCCCTTTCTAGAAAGTAAACTTTGGTTTGACAGTAGTCTCTTACCTCATAGGACTTCATGATGCATCTGGGCTTGCATTCAGGCCTGGTTATGTCAATCCAGCTGGGCAGATGGAGTGTCTGCTGCTTCACCCACAAACCAGTGCTTTTGGTAAGGAAAGTACCTGCCCACACACGGCTGGACACAAGCGGGAAGTCAGTTGGTACCTTTAGCTCTTTTGAAGCACATAGACCTAATTTTGGTACACCTTGAGATTTTGACCCTTAAAAGCTACCCTGACTGCTTCAGGTATATGTGAACTGTCATTACAAAGGATTAGAAAAGCATTCCAATTCTTGGAATTGCTGATCCAATGGTAATGTTGCTTTTGGTGGGTGTTTTTGAGTCCATTTCTGACTCATAATGTCCCTGTGTGATAGAGTAGAACTGCCCCCATCAGATTTTCCAGGCTGTGATCTTGATGGGAGCAGATCACCAGGTCTCTCTCCTGGGTGGATTTGAACTGTTACCTTTCAATTAGCAGCTGAGTGCTTAACCATTGCAC